GGAGGCTGAGGCAGGAGGATCGCTTAAGCCCAGGAGTTTGAGGTTGCTGTGAGCTAGGCTGACGCCATGGCACTCACTCTAGCCCAGGCAAAAGAGTGAGACTTTTGAGAGAAGAGAAAAGAGAAAAGAAAACGTTCCCGAGACCTGAGTTCTCTTGCCGTCTCCGTGGCTCTCTGGCTATAGCAGGCCAGTGCTCTAACCACTGAGCTGTGGAGCCCACCTGCTTTCCGGTTATAGATCATGGGACAAGTTACCTCTTAGGACACTGCTTTGACTTAATGTCCATGTCACCCATTTAATATTTCCTGTTCTTATCCTGACCTTTCTGTGGAATTTTATATTCTTGACCCTTTTTTCCTTTCAGAAACATTCTCTTCTTTTGGCTTCTAATTTTCGTCCTATTTCTCTAGGTCTCTTGGGGATCTACTCAACTCTGTCCACTCCTTCTGTATTTATCTTTCCTGGGACTTTCCCTGACCCCCTGTTACTCTCACCCTGCATCATCTTCCCTGGGTGAGCTTATCCAAACCTATGGCTTCAGTTACCTGCCATCTCCCTTTATGAAATGCTAGGCTGCAATTAAAATGAAAACTATGACACCAAGTATATTCTCTGCTGTTTATGATGTTATGATCTTAAGTTTCATGTAAAATTCTATCTGCCCTATGATTTACAACCATAGAGAAATTGTATGTTTATGTCGATAAGGACTGGAAAGGGAAATAAATAAGAGGACATGATTCGATTTGGGATGTGGTAGGTGAGTGAATATATCCTGCTTGTTTACGCAACTTCCCTTCCTTTGGGGAACCCTCCACTCCCTGCTCCAGTCTAGAAAGGCATCGGTCCCAGTGCTTTCCCCACCAGCACAGTGCCTGCTTGTGGCCCAGGCTGGCCAATCAGAGCAACCCAATCTCTCAGACACAGCGACTGGCTCAAGCACGATCATTTCTGAGACTGTCCTGCCAGCAAGGAAGACTGCATCTTTTGACTGCATTTTGGTGGCCATCCTAACTTCTGGGCAGAGCCTGTCATCAGAATGAAGTTAACCATAGATAGAAGCAAGGATGGAAGAGGGAGTCTGAGCCCTATAACCTTGTTTAAATTGCTAGATCCTGCTGTGCCTGAAATTACATCTACCTTTTCTGATTCCCCAATTATATAAGCCAATAAGTGTCTTGTTTAAACTAGTTTGAACTCAGCTTCTATCATTTTGAAACAAGAATCCTGACTGACATAGGTTGACAGTCATGGGCAAGAAGAAAATTTTTTTCTTTTATTTAGAGTTCCATTAATGATATTATAACATTGAGACTTTAAACCCCCCCACACACCCACACAAACACATAAGGAGTGAGCGTAAGTGCAGGACATCCTGCTGCATTGCTCATAAGAGGAATCACGCCAATGCACCATGTGAATAGAGTTTTGTTTTCTTAAAACAAACTTTTATGTATTAAAAAACAACAATCTGAAGTACTGTACAATATAAGTGCTGTCTCTAATACAAATCACATGTGGAAAGGAATAGGACACAGCCTCAGCAAAGGTCATACAATAGGTGGCAGAATGTTTGTGCTCTTGGGGGAGGAGTTTTTGCTTTGTTCTGTGGAGGTCACGGACACCTCTAGCCCATCTGCCTGTGCCTTCCCGGGTGCTTCTGCTAGATGAGGCAGCTGGACAGAGCCCTGCTGGTCACCTGAATTCTGAACGTGCTCAGTGGTGCCATCTTTTATTCTGTCTGTAGTATCTTTGGCGATCTCATCTGCTGAAGGAGAGAGAAGACAGAAGGGATAAGCATTCAAATGTGAATTATATTCTAACTGTCCCTTAGGCTGTAAGTTGCTTTGGGGAAATCATGATTGTAATATAAAACCAGTTCATTTGTTAAGCACATTTCTATGTGCCAGGCATTATTCTAAGCACTATACGTTTACTAATTCATTTGATCCTTTCAGCAATCCTGGAGAATAGGTATTATTCTCATAAGTGAGATACAGAGAGGTTAAGGAAGTTGCCCAAGGGCCCACAACCTGATATATGACAGAGCCAGAATTTAATCCCAGGTAACCTACGCCAGTGACCATGTACTTAACCACTAGGCTATATCACCAAAAAAAATTACATGATGCTATAATCTGTCATTGATAAAAATTCAAAAGGTAATTATAGGGCATAAAGGGGTGGACCCAGTGAAAGAAAAGGCAAGGAAGAGAAAGGGAATTGAATATAGAGAACAATGGAAAATCCTAATCATAAGGGTCAAAACAGAGGAGCCCAGCTGAAGCCAAGTTTCCTGAAGGAGGAAAATCCCCAAAGTAAGAAATGTCAGGCTAGCAGTGATGTAGCCAGAAGAATTACCCAAGGCTGAGGTCAAAAATGTTGGCATGCCAATCCTCCAGAAATGCCTGACTCCCTGTACTATGGGAACAGGATTGGCTATCTGAGGGGCTGTACCTTGTTTGCTCGAGTGATGATACCCTCGAACCTTGTCCTTCCTTGTCTCGGAGGAGTAACAGAAACTGGATTTCCTCAGGGTCTGGGGCCTGGGATGTGGTTTGAGGTTCCGTGGCTCATGAATCCAAGCATGCTTGAGGGCCTGGTCAGGGGTCATTCGAAGAGAAGGTTCCCATCTGCACACCAACGAGAAGCCCAGCACCAGTTACTGTTTTATTTCCTTTCTAAGTATT